AGAGTAGTGCGATTTTGATAATTCGTTTTTATTGGAAAGGGTATACTTCGAAGTTGGTATAAATTTGAAAAACAAAACTTTTTTTTAGGGTAACAATCATGTAAAGTGGGGCTGAATTTTTTTCATCGTCTACACTGTCGGGCGGGGTATCGTTGAATAGATCCTTAAAAATGACTTCGGGGTTGTGAAGACTATTTTTCGATTTCTTTGGGAAATATTAAACTTAAAAGTGCAAATGTTTGTTTGAGTAGTTCCCCCCGAACCCTCAATTTTATTGTTGTGTAATTAATAGTGGTTTTTGGTGAACACTCAAAGAAAATTATGACAGTAAAGATAGATCAGATAATTAGGAGTCGTTCAACTTAGGATTTAGGAAATTTCTTACCTACTAAAAATTTCTTAGATAAACATTAAAAGTGACTTAGATAATAAAGTAATTGCTGGCTTATATCGCGTAAAACTTTGAATGACTAACAATATTTCAAAAAAAAACACAATAAAATATCTATCAACCCACATTGGCTACTATGTACCCTATGAATGTCTGATAGATCTGAGTTCCTATTTACTACTTGGGCTGACATGGCACCGACTCCAAATATTAATTTGATTTAAGAAAGGTTGATAATTTTCTCCTTTTCAGTTTTTTATTCAGTGGTTAAATTTTTTGCGAAAAAAGATTTTTCTGTAATTCAAGATTAGATATTTTTCTTCTCAGTGCTTTTTAACCAAGAAACTGGAGTTACAACGTATGCTTTTTTATAAATCTAATAAAGAAAAAGGATTATTTTGTTATTTTTTTAAGCATTTAACTGCTAGATGTTTAAATCTAAAGAAAAGATTTACTAGAAAATAATCTACGCGGACCAGGTAGCGGACGGGACTCGAACCCGCACCCTTCGCAATCCGGGCGAATGGACTGACCAATTATGCCGTAGCATCGGCCGTCGTAACGGCCCTGATGGCCGCATCGAAATCTTCTTATCCTTAAATTGCAAGGCAGCGCTATCTCTTCGCATTGTAAGTATCCCACAAAGGATTATTTAATTCAATCTCACATTAATTTTATTGAACTGCAAACCAATTATTTTAAAGATGACAGTCACGTTCTTGTCCATCATACTGTAGATACATTAAAATAGGTTTTATAAAACTCTCAATTACTTAATACTTACAATATAATATTGATGAAAACTAGAGTAAGTATATAAATTAATCTGTTAACCAATAAATCGATGATAATAATGATAATTTGTTAAAATGATGCAACGAACGATAAACTATTGAATTAATTATTTTTTCAAAAAAACATAAATCGGTCAAACAAACCGCAATTTAAAATTAAAAACGATTCATGGCGCTTACATTCGACGAAGCAGAACCATACGTCATATTATGTCTAGTAGAAGCCGGCTTTATTACTCCGATGGGAAATTCCTATGCTTTCATACGATTTATGCCATAACAATCTCATACAAAAGCTCCACTGTTCGTGATTTTTCCTGTTGTACATTTCGAAAAAGGTTAGTATGACAAAACCCAAGTTGACCTGTATTAAGAATTTTAATTTATTTGATTAAAAAAACTATTGTAATGAACATTAATAGTAGATTATGTGACTGTCATATAAGAAGGGGTATTGAAACACGAGAGTTTGTTTATATATAAAAGGTTGTCTCGAGTGTTTTAATACCTAAATTGTACCTACATCAACACTAATTCAGAAATCAGAAATCAATATATCTTTATTCAAATTGGATGTATAGTACAACACTTTTGAATCGTCCAAACATTTTTTTCCCTATTACTCGTTATTGGACATATTTTTTTAGCTGCGGAGAAAAACGAGCGAAAAAAACTCCACAACATTAAAAGTATAATGTAACAACATTTACAAATCATTATGTTGTTACAACGTCAATACAATCATGATTTATTTAATATGGAAAACCTGTTGGAATGATTGGAACAGTTCAAACCCAAGCATTTTTTTCTGTAATATAATCAGACACTTAATTAATTAACATACTATAAGACGATGAAGTACCTACCAGTTATAAGGTTGCTACATTCTTAGAAACAAAAATAATGGACTTTAACAAATAACCTTTAATCAAAAGCATGATTAAATTAGTTAATCAAGTACAGGCACAGCCTTGGCAATGCACCAGAGATTACTCGCAAAGTACTTGTTCACCAACAAGCATAACAGTTATTCTAAGAAGCAAACCTATTGCAAATGTTCCGGGAAAATTATAAATTCATTATTTTAAAACCATGAATAGTGAACGTACTGTCGCGTGTCTGTATGGTGATTAAGTTAGTGCCTGTGTAACAAGCTCGCAAGAATTAAGAATATAGTGCAGTGCACTGAAAGATGGCTGTTTAATTAAACAATCCTTATTTAATTGTATTAAATGGGCGGATAGCGGAATATGCGAGTTCGAATGCCGTCTGATGCCTCGACCGAGTTTTTTTCTAGTAAGAATTTCTTTTCAACACGTTTTTCAGAAAATGCATTTAAAGGTTAAATACATTGTTTGAAAGTTAAAAATTACAGGCCATACAATGGAGCGTGTGGTAAAACATATTCTATGTCCTTTTCTGGTACTCAAACTATTCGGTTCAGCGGTTCAAACGTATAGAGGTAAGAGAGAGACCGACACACTTTCGTATTTATAATATTAGATTAGATGATTGTCATGATTAAGTTTTTTATCGCCGAGTCAGCCTGTAAATAATATAAATAAACAGTTTCTTCCTTATTCATAAACGTGGAATAAGCTTAGACTGTTTTGTTCATATAACTCAAATACCATTTAATTTTGCCATTTAATGAACACACGGAGTAACTTAACCAAGCTTATTTTTCGTTGATTAATAAGGTGGCATATGTTTTAATCAAAAGTCGTTGTAAAAACAGCAAGCACATTGTTGCTTTAATTAGCATTTATAGGTAGTATTACAAAATATTGCACATTGACTTGACCTAGAGTTATACTAGAATGGCTGAAACCCTAAACTGTTATATTGAACATTGGACACGAACTGGTTTTCATAAATTGAATCTTTTTATTTTAAATATTGCTTGACAATCTCTGTGGTTTTTGTTCTCCTTGTTTTGTTCATCCTTGCACTGTTTACGTCTTGTACGGCTTGATTTTTCTTATTATATATCTCCCCAAAAGCATTTTAATTCATTAAAATATACTGTGGAACTGTTTCGTTACTTGCCATGCTGAAATTTGGCAAACTAACTGGCTACCACGGAAACGCGCGATCGGCTGCGCGACAAGCGATTTACCTGTACATTACGCTGCCGCCGGTGCTGTGTAGTAGTTTACATTTGCGAACAAAAAGTGCTAAATTTCACTTGACGCGCCGCCAGGCGCGCGTACCCATTGCTAGCCTTTAATAGTGTCGTAATAAAAGTTATTCAAAATTTCAAACAGCCGAAAGCTCTCCTTCTTATACCAATATAGGTATAATATTTGGCATGCATTACAAACTTTTAACGAATTTTATAGCGGTTGTGAAGTCAGCAACGAGCCTATTTACGCAGGTCGCAGTTATAAGTCGCGGCACAAAACTCTAGCGCTGACCGTTATTGCGCAGAAGTAAAAATTAAGATGTCTTGGGGGGAAACCAGGCGCGCGGGTGGGCGTGCGTTGCGCGAATTCGCCCTTCAGTGGTGGCGGAGGGGATGCGTAGCTATCCTCTCCGCGTTTTGTTCAGCGCTAGAGTTATGTGCCGCGACCTGAACAATTGAATTTTATAATCTTAGTAAAACCTAGTGCATTAGATATTATTCTTTTCGATTCAAATTGTACTTATAAAATATGGTATTTGTTTTATATATAAGCCAAAGTAAGTTTTCCCCCTATATCTCATGCTCATCCCACCTGATATCTAGAGGTTTTGTAGTCCAGTTGATAATGAATAAACGATGCGGTAGAAAAAATTTCGACTAATATTACCTGCCTGGATTTGGCCTAAATCCTCAAGCTTATAGTGGTAGCTATTATCAATATTATACAGTGGTTGAGTCATTCATGTCACGCATTTTTAATATACATGCAAACAAAAACCCAAAACTTTACAAAAATAGGTATTACATCATGCAAAATTACTCATTGATGTTCGATCTATAAATCAATACTTAGTATTTATGATAGGTACTGCGTTTTGGCTCAAGTCGTGCAATTAGAGCAAAGAAGGAAATCGAACTTAAGTCATTCCGGCATAGAGTCAAAGCGACGCAAATGAAATTATAGGATTTTGTCTAATTGTTCGAGAGAGGTCAGCAAATCATACCTCGGTAAATTTAACCTCGTTAAATCGGTAAATTTCGCGCATAGTTACGCAGTATTAAGCACATATACAACCTCTAAACCGTTGATTTTTTCAACGACAAAATCACAAGGTTAGGACAACAGCCCTTTGTTGTCCTATCCTTGTGAGTTCGTCCGAAAATCGGTAACTTACGCGCATAGTAACACAGTATTAAGCACTTATACGGTTGTATAAGTTAAACAGGCTGTTTAGAGGTTTCTAAACAGCCTGTTCACATGTCGACCTCTGCTATGATATCGAAGAGTGATAGCCTAAATCATACCAGGTATTGCATATAAGCTCATGCGCATGCCTTGTGTGACGTACCTCCGTGTTGGCTTAGCCAGCCGTTGATTTTTTCAACTAGGCTAGACTTGCTACACCGAATATTAATTCTTTGCTCTGTGGACTAAATCACAAGGTAAGGACAACAGGCCTTTGTTGTCCTAACCTTGTGAGTTCGTCCGAAAATCGAAGTTAAATCGATAACTTACGCGCATAGTAACGCAGTATTAAGCACTTATACGGTTGTATAAGTTAAACAAGCTGTTTAGAGGTTTCTAAACAGCCTGTTCACATGTCGACCTCTGCTATGATATCTAAGAGTGATAGCCTATATTATACCATGTATTAAATATAAGCTCATGCGCATGCCTTGTGTGACGTACCTCCGCGTTGGCTTCGCCAGCCGTTGATTTTCTCAACTAGGCTAGACTTGCTACCCCGACTGTTAATTCTTTGTTCTGTGGACGAAATCACAAGGTTAGGACAACATAGGGTTACGACAGACACAACATTAGGATAGAAACAAAAATATTTTTACACACATTTGGGTTTGGTTTATAAGAGGAATTTTAGGCTGAAGGCGTTTCTATCACACACGTACATAAGGATACAGGGTTGTTTGTTAATTTGACGTATCTATACAGCGAAATAAGACAATAGTCGTAATTTGTATTTCTGTACAATATTTAATTGTTTTTGTAACTTTTATCACCTATGCATAAAATTAAAACTATTATAATTATAACGGAATATTGTCATTAGTTATTTTTTTTGTCATAGTTAAGTACATAGATAAAGTATATTGTATTCCATTATCTGTAATTTCTTCTTAATGTCAGTTATTGTATCACCGGACTGAATCAAATCACTAAAATCATAATCATGTATGCTAGCGCCTATTATTTTCGATTATTGGTGATTTAAAACAAAAGAATTACCAAGTTTTTTTTTAATTTATATATTTTTTATTTCTTCTTGATTTGAGAATTTTTAGCCATGATAAAAATACCAAAAATGAAAAAAAAAAGCTTTTTTTATATAGCTGGGTAGGCAAATGACTCTACCCCACCTGATGTTAAGTGGCGATAAAGTCCAAACGTGAAGATAGCTGATACAGCAGTTATAAACTTAACGACTTCATTGTTATTTTGCAATCACCAAAAGAAAATGGGTACGTAGAAAGGCAGGATTGTACACGATGGTGGACAAAACACCATTAAGGTGGGCGCACGTCGATGTAGTATGCAAATTTTATTTGGCGTGGCTGCAGAAAGCGTCTGGGAGTTCGTAGCTGTTAATTACTAAGTAACCAGCTTATAGTCTTTATGGGTTAAAGTTAAGCCACAAGTTGTATTTTTATACTATAATATTGAGTAGTCGTATTAAAGTTTGGAGCACTAGACACTTTTTGTTATGATGATGGAGACCGGCCAGATGGACCAATATGTTCGAATAACAATCTAACAAAAGACGATTGAGATTTTCTTCAATTTTGAAATCGCTCAAATAATATATTATTGACGATTGAGAGTCTGATCCTTATTGAAGTTGGTAAGACACATACATTGATTCAATTAAAATCCATCACCATCAGCAGCCTATTATTGTCACCACTGCTGGGACACAGGCCTTCCTTTGGATGGAATAAGGAGATTGGGCCATGACCCACCACGAAGGTCCAGTGCGGATTGGTGGATGCTCACGACTGCAGGTGCAGCCGGGACCAACGCCTTAACGTGCCTTCCGAGGCACGGAGGAGCTCGAGATAGTAAATTTTTGGTCACCCATCCAATGACCAACCACTGCGGAAGTTGCTTAACTTCAACGATCGCAGCCGAACGCACTAACCACTTGCGCCAACGAACTCCTCAAGTAACATAGATAACAAAAAAATCACTTACTAGGTATAAGCTATACATATTTAAGTTTAGTCAAGGGTAAAAAAGGAAAAACTGTAGTGTGACAGTATAATTGTCCCGTAGTGCACAACATTCCGACCTACCTCAACATGTTAATGCATTAAACGGAACCATTACTTTTAACTACCACTAAGTACACATACATACGACATAATGGCTGCTTGTTATTTGTCAACGACTGATGTGTATTAAAGCTAAAGCTGTTTCAAAGCTGGTCATTCTTAATTCTCTAAGTAACTCAATTTTTTTGTATTTTTGAAACCTTCTTAATAAACTTATTATATTAATTCGCCATTCGTAATTTTATTTTATTTTCTTTTAGAAAACTTTTTTTAGGCTCTGTAACAACTGTTCATTTGATTATACCAATCTCCTTTGAGTTTAATAGAGAACACGATGAAGCAGTCGCTACAATGGTTACAGGTCGCGGTACGTAACTGTAGCGCTAAACAAAACGCGGAGGGGATAGCTGCGTATAGGTACCACTGGAGAGCCAATCGGCGCAACGCACGCCCGCCCGCACACCTCGTTTCCCCCCAAGACATCTTAATTTTTACTTCTGCGCAATAACGGTCAGCGCTAGAGTTTCGTGCCGCGACTAATACCGCGTTGCGTTAATGTCATCTATGATAAATGACTAAATGCTATGAACATAACAAGTGCTAAATTATTGAACAAAAAGAGGAATTGGACGCGATCAAAAGTCTTGGCCGTATGCCGATTTTTTTGCGGCCTTAGACGTTCGCTCAGTTATAAAAGAAATACTTAAGCAGGAACAAAGTTGCCCTCCGTACCTTATTCTGCTGCGCTCGAGTAAATCTAAAAATCCCCGCTTGTTAGTATAAAAAGTCTGTCCTCAACAAAAACTCAAAAAAATCATTAAACGGTTTGCTTTTTTAAAGTTAAATACAGGAAATATTTATTGGATGTGCAAAAGTTGTAATGAGGGTCGCTAGAACGCCATGGTTGATTTTGAGCACCATTTCATACGCTGTAAATTTTAATTTAATTTAATTTTTTTTTGGCTTTCATTTTGTTTCACAGTGTTTATCCCATTGATTTCAGTAATTTGACATCTGTATGTATTTAAATCTTTGATTCTTAATTTTTATTTTAAATGATGTTTAAGACCTTAAATTAATGTAATTTAATTTAAGTAGGCTGCTGCGGAAAATCAGTGTCGTGGCACAAGTTGCCACGACGTATACTGAGCAGTGGCCTGTTTGGTACACAATCACCTATATGTAACACAAGAAGTTATTTTTGTAATTTGTGCCAAATAAACGTTTTTATTATTATATTTATTATTATTTATATAATCGTTGTATCAACGTTAAGTTTTTATATGTTAAAAGGGTGGCTAATAAGTATATGGCCTTCCTGATGGTAAGCAGAAACCATAGCCTACAGACGCTTGGGATACAAAAATATCATTCACGCCGTTGCCTAGATAGTATTTATTACGTACAAGGTTTACAAGGTAGTGTTATTATTTTTTATATTTTTTTTCTTTAGCCAGGTAAGCAAGTGACTACTCCACCTGATGTTAAGTAGTGATAAAGTCAACGGCGAAGATCGCTGGTACAGGAGTTATAAACTGCCATACCAACCATCCTCACCTTGCCGGCCTGCAAAAATGCTTTATTTATTTATTTATTTATTAAAGTAATTAATAAATTAATTTCTTAATTTGCTTTAACTCAATTGTATAAGAGCATTATACATAACTAGCAAACCAGTGAACCAAATGTTCACCAAAAAAAAAAAATAATGTAATTAATTAATTGAGAACTTCGGAGATTTTGTGTGGTTTCGTTTGAAATAGAAATCACGTGATTTCTCGAAAACCGGAAGTGCTACGTTACTCACATCCGGTTTGTAGTCTCATCAGACTATTCTCAACTTATAACTTAAACATTCTCTTTATCTATCTCTTACGGTTTGGCCGCTGAAACAGCACCACGGACGGACGGACGGACGGACTTGTCTAATAGATAAGAGATACTATGTTTTAAGTTATGCAATAAAAATGTAAACTCCGATAGCGCAGTATAAACCTTAGTGGTTTTAGATGTTATCGCCACTGTTAAATGATATTTTGACTTTGGTAATAAATAAATGAAAAATAAAATGTTATTAGTTGAATGCAATATTGTTAATTAATGAAAATGTATTTTCAAAACCACTACGGAGAATTAGAACACAAAAAAGCGGCCAATCGGCAAAAATAATATAAACCTCAAGCTTGCCCTGATTTGAAAACTTCATAATATAATATAACAATGATTTAATTAAATTTTTGTAGTAAAACGTTTTATTTTAATACTTATTTATTTTAACATTATGTTTTCGTACTATACTTACGTACGTATGTACCTATATGGTGACAATGTAGCCGTAATGCAAAACTTCCTCTATATGTCTGTCAGAATATCCGTCCTTCTGTGTGGGTGTAATATTTCATTATCCACAATACAAAGACAACAGAATTGAAATTTTTACACATTGTGTATTTATAATGCTGTTACGGTATTGATGGTGGCTAATTTTTTTCCATCATTTATCAGGGAGATTTTCAATAAAAATATGACACGTATATTTTTCTTTTTACATAATCATTACATTACAGAGATATTAATATTTTGATTTGAAATATCGCATGACGTCACGTCTTCGTACACTTTGTAACTTAGCAATGACATCACGAGCTCCCACTCACAAATTTTGACGCGATTAATCTTTGTCATATTCTGGTTTGATCGACAAAAAAAAAGAAAAAAACATTATTTTTTGAAAATCTAACTGACGGATTAAATAGAATTTCATTTACTTTACCCTGTCTTTACTTTACGACGTTACCTTAAAATTCGCATTTTAAACACTTACACGTCAATGATACGATAAAGATATTTAGTAATGAAACGGATAACTGGCACTTAAAAATACGGAAATTATTATCATAGTGATAGTGACAAACGATTGCATCCTCGGTACCTATATTTTTATGTCAGCTATTAACGGTTTTAATTTGGTGTGCAAACATTCGCTAAAATATTAATATCGATACGGTGAGCTTAAGGTTTCATGTACACTAAGAGCGATGGCGAGTGATTTAATTAGTGAATTTACTTAGGAACTTATCCTAAGTAACAATAAGTGTGATGAATGGAACGGTATTACTCCTTGATACTGTTCTAAAGGTACCGAAGTACTATTCTGTAAGAAAAATCTCACTTCTCACCTCTGAATATATATATATATATATATATATATATAAAACTCAAAGGTGACTGACTGACATAGTGATCTATCAACGCACAGCCCAAACCACTGGACGGACCGGGCTGAAATTTGGCATGCAGGTAGATGTTATGACGTAGGCATCCGCTAAGAAAGGATTTTGATCAATTCTACCCCGAAGCGAAGCGAGGGCGGGCCACTAGTATCAAATAAATTTTATATCACACTGGTGAATCCCGCTTGTAAAAAAATTGTTTGTTCTTATAGAACGGCACTGCTGGATTTGAATTCCGCTAGGCGTATTTCATTTTTTAACATTGAAAATGATTTTTCGTTCGCTCCAGTAGGCTGCCTATTTCGCTGGAAGTGCGACTCGCCCGTGATACCCCGAGATTTAGGCCCAAGAGAATTTGAAGGGCTTTAAGAAGATGTAATGATGTGTAATTAATTTGCGAAAGACAAAAACTGATTTGGAAATCGATAAAATGAATGAATAAATGATTTTTGAAGTAAAAACTTCTTTAGCGGAGTTGTACTTTTTGTATGGGTAAAAAATGTTAAACTCGCGTCAGGTTAAACACGTGGGCTGATCGTATCATGACACACAATATATTGCACGAAACATAGTAATATTTTATTTTATCGTATTATAATAATAAGTCTCTATCTTGGACGTCCACGTGGCAGCTTTATTGCGAAGTAAATGCATTTTTTTTACAATAGATGTCGCTAGGTGCGCTTAAATGTGATTTATGTAAGTTGATTTCTTTACAATAGATATCGCTAAGTGCGCTTAAACGTGATTCATGTAAGTTGATTTTTCTGAGAGATAAACTTTTTTAATGTCATATAAATTGTCATTACGATAACGCAAGAAATAAATATTGTATTCTACCACATACATGATAGTACTTTTATACTGATAATTAAAGCAATTCGTGCAAAATTATAACCCTAACCATTCCAAAATATCAAAAATGCACAACGTTAATATTCAAGTTTTCACTTCTGCCGGCAATCCCGGAGTGCAACAAGTCGTTTTTTTTTTATATTACCCATAGACACCTGCAACACCGTAAGTAGGTATCACAAATGCGATGCCAGCCTTTAAGAATTTACGCGATTTGTATGGTGATCGCGAATAATTTTGCTGTAGAGCTACCACGTCATTTTTATATACTGAGATATGTATTCTTCACCTTATTAAGTTGTCTTAATACAAAATCTTTATTTGTAGCTCTCTAAGTTGTATCGTAACGGATCTTTGTCATTATTAAGTAAAACACAAAGCATTAGTAATAGTTAATGACGCGATTTCTTAAAAAAATACTGTAATAATGGAAAGTTGTATAGATTTGTATTCCTGAAACTCACAGCCAAAGCTGCCTGCTGAACTGAACTGCTGACACAGAGAGACGCGAAACAAAGATATACCTAAACGTACATAATAAAGGTAGCCAAGGCTGCATGGACTTACTATATCTTTGCTTTCTATGGCAGAATCTTAACGAATAGAAAAAAAAAGTTTAAGCGAAAGCACGATTTATTTCTACCCTACCCACCTAAATAATACTAGTTTTAACGGGTTAATGCACGAAACTTTATTTATTTATTGACGTTTCGCAGCCTTTTCAGGTCTGCATCGTCAGAATACTGATTTTTTATTTAATTTTGTCGAGCTACTAAAGACTTTTATTGAGGGTTCGGTTATTTCATTAGAAGATTTTTAAAATTTTATTGTCTTTGTATGAATTTATTAGTTAATTTAGTTAATAAAGTACTTTATTTAAAATTCTTTTTTGTAATTTTAAGTTTATTTATTTGACCCTAACTACCGTAAACTACCACCGGTTCCAAAATTGGGAGACCTTTCTGAGAAGAACCGGCGAAACAAACTCAGAGAGGCTTTCTATCTCCTTCTTATCTTAAGAAATCTTTCGAAGGTAGCTTGACAAGATTAAATAAAAAATCAGTATTCTGACGATGCAGACCTGAAAAGGCTACGAAACGTCAATAAAATAATAAAGTTTCGTGCATTAACTCGTTAAAACTAGTTTTATTTAATGAGTGATGTTCGTGAAAGCCTACCCGCCTTATTAATAAACGAGGAATTAGCTTAGACTAGTTACGCCGTGTTTTGTTCATATCACTCAAATGCCATTTGTGTTATAAATATTTGATATAAGAAATGCAATTTAGCTAAACTGTTAACTTAACAAACTTTTATTATTGCGAATTTAGTACTATTAACTAAATATTGTTACGAACAAGCAAGATATGTACTCGTATTTAGAACTCAATATTTCCAAAGCTTAAAATAATAGGCTTTTGTTGTGCAATAACAATACTTACAACAAAATAATCTTCACGATTCCCCCTTCAAAGTATCTGCCTGTTGTTGTTTAATTATAAGATCCCTCGATATATATCGTAACAATAAAATTATTGGTACACTTGTTACCATTCATTACCTACTCTTTGCTAGCAATCGAATTGTTTACTACATAAATAGATACTCAAAGATAATTGCTTAGATTCATACATACAAACTACGTGCTCTGATTCTGTAATACTACTTACTACTGAATAATACAATATTGCGTAGGTATTGAAACTTCGTAAGTTGTACCTTTTTATTAGTGATCAAATGATTTTTAAATAGCCGTTCTATTAAAAACACGATTTAAACTTTTTTTAAAAGAGCTATTTGAATAAAGGGGTCCTATAATGGTAGCACTGTCATGCTATTATGTGTTCTAAATTTAAGAGAGTTGCAGTTAATATTCTACGAACACGATTTATACGACACGTGTTTTCTGACAAAATAGTTTGGTGAAACAGTTCAAAACAAAATTACGGAACTACGTATTGTCACGAAAATCATGAACGCCAACAAAAACTTGAGACAGCCGGCAAATTGTGCAAATCGAATGAATGTCAGCGCATAGCTTTAGTTGCGTACGTGGTCTGAACGTAATATTTGACATTTAACTTGAGAAGAATGTGAACGAAATGATAATTGGGAATCACGCTGGACTGGGCTTCGATAAAAGATAGAATGCGTAGAATGCGCAGTACTGTTGTAGGACATAATTTTATGATGGACTAGTGAGAATGGACCACGAGCCATAGATATTGAATTCCTCTTCATGCAAGTAAATAATAATAATGGAGGTAATTTAATAATATAACTAAAGAACAAATAGTAAGATATTTATATCTAAAAACCTTAAAATATATAAAAAACTAACTATAACTAAAATACATTATTAAAAGGAGTCCCTTTAGGCAAGATTCCAAAGATACTGGCAGCGTTCCCCCTTTGAATAGCTAGACTAATTCTTTGTCCGAGGTAGCTGCCAGCTCTTCGGTCTCCTGTGATGTCGACCAACCTTTTTGCTATTTCCTTAAAAAGCCTTACAGCGCTAGGACCCCACGGACCAAGGGTCTCGACACCGAATGGGACAAAATCATATTCGAAGCCAAGACCCCTGTATTTGCATGCCTTAGATTTTTCAGCCGCTTCGCAAGCCGCACCAGCTCTGTGGTTGGTTCTATGCAGATGTGTAAATTGTTGATGATGTGTATTAATATCTCAATGATAGGGGATAGTTATTTTCTCACCTGTCGCGCTTTCTGCGAGGCACAGGATGAGCAGTAGGGCGACGAATGTTGCAGTCACGCCTGGGCCACGGCTTCTGGTCGCTCCTGATTTGTCCATACTTTTCTTCGTGGTTGCTGTAACAAATGACATGAAATCAAACGTTGTAGATTAATTAACACAAACCTTTCTGTTACCTGTTCACACTTAAGGAGCTGCATCGATTTACTTTCGAGTAATTGAAATTTGGTATTGCGGTACTTTGAGTGCGGGAGAGGACATAGGATAGATTTTATTCCAGAAATCATTTTCTGAAGGGATAAAAAGTGTAATAGGATTTGTATTTGCGCAACCAATAATTGTCTATACGAGAATTGCCGATACGAGAGGGTAGCATTGGAGAATTGTCTACCTTGAACCTCCCCTACCCCTGAAACTCTGGAAACATATACATACATAGTCATAGTCACAGTACGAGTATGTCTACATTCTTATAGCTATTCCTTATCCTTTTCTTCCTACCTTATAGAAACTCTGCTATGTCATACTTATTTTAAAAACAATATTTTTTAAAGAAAATATAACTAGAAAAAATTCCACGCGGACCAGGTAGCCGATGGGATTTGAACCCGCAGCCTTCGCTATCCGGTCGAATGCACTGACCAATTATGCTACCCCAGCCGCGTCGAAATTCTTCTAGCCATTCTTTTAGCTGCAAGGCAGCGCCATTTTTTCGCATTGTAGGTAACCCACAATGTCAAATGAATACTTTTTACAAGTATTAAACATTTGAAAGAAGAAATAGCAATTATAGTCATAATTTTTATTTTTTACGGGATCGAATCCCGTCTGCTGCCTGGTCCGCGTGGATTTTTGTCTAGTAATATTTTCTTTACATAAAAATATATTACAATATTTTTTATTGTATACTTCCACATATTTACTGAAAATTTATTTTTTACAATTAAAGTGATTCCATTAATGGTTTATTATTTATTATACGAGTACATTAATCTCAATAAGGTTGTCTGTTTTATTAAGATATTAGATGCGCATTAAATTAATGTAAGATACGCGAACTTGTTTAAGCAACGCTTTGTAAACAAACAGGCGAACAATATGTAAATTAATTTAGAAAAATAACTTCAGCTAAAATAAGTAATAAAAGGTATTTAGTTTTAATTAGAAGGTTTCTTGAGCTAAGACAATAGTTTATGATTTAAAAAAAATTGATTTGATAAGTCTCATTTTGAAACGAAATAAAAATTAGCTTTATATTCACTAAAAAGATTGATTAAAATAAAGAAAATCTTCATTTTCAGTATTGTCTGATTTGATAAATTAATAGAGGAGTTGGACTATATACTCTTTTAAATATTAAATAAAATCTGTTCTCAGTTATTTTTGTGATCTATTTATTGTATCATTTGTATCTATTTTATATATTTATTCATTACTAGTAGCCCGCCCTCGTTTCGCTTCGGTGTCGAGCTGTAGTGTAGGTAGACTATAGTTTTTACCTTTAAAACCTTCCTTAGACCTCCACGAACATTTCAAGACCAAGATAAGATAAATCCGTTCAGCTGTTCTCGAGTTTTAGCGAGACTAACGAACAGCAATTGATTTTTATGTATATAGATATAACAAATACAATTTATTTCTTAGGTTTTCATGCACATCACTCATTAACTCAGTTTTTACGAGTTAATGCACGAAACTTTATTTATTTATTGACGTTTCGCAGCCTTTTCAGGTCTGCATCGTCAGAATAATGATTTTCAAAAAATCATGTCACCGTTATAACTAATTTTATTTAAATACAATTTAGTTAAATTGAGAAATTAACAAGAGACATTGATACTGCCGTGGCAGTTCATATAATTAGTTCAATTTGTGGACTCACTTAGCAGACTTGCTTAACTTTCGACTTGCAAAGTTTCGATTCTAATTCTAATTCCAAGTTTCTGTTACAAGTGCAAATGTTTCATGCAACGATGGCAATCATGCCCACACATGTCAAAGATTGTTTCTTGGTGTTCCGCCTTTGTATTTGATCCTACTGTATTTGAAAAAATATTGAAGAAAAGAGTTGCACTTATACAATACAAACAATTACAATAATTAAAATATTCGTAGAACGAAAAACAAGTGGATAGATAAATTCTAAAATAATTGTTAACACCGAAATCTAAAACACTATCCTTATTCATAAACGAAGACTGCGCTTGGATAAGTAACTTCATGTTTTGTCTCTGTCTATTGAATGACAAATGGCATTTGTGTGACATGAACAAAACACGGCGTAACTAGTCTGAGCTTATTCTTAGTTTATTAAGATGGAGGTATAGGTACATATTTACTGGAATATCGCAAAAAAATCTTTCAGTATGACTTTCGCATTCGGAATGCAATGTGGACGTTTTCTATGTAAGAAAGTGTCACAAATTAATACATTATACCGTATATTTAAATACAATAATTTAAAGTAACATTTGCGTTACTAAAAAGGCAGCCCACTCAGAATATTTAGGATGTCGTAGACTGTCCGACGCTGGTCTTTCGTGGTTACCTTAGAAAGTAGGGACCGTGGTAGGGATGAGAGCATTGGTGCTCTAGACCTACCTAAATACCCATTATTACTTATTTTAGACTCTTTTCTAAGTGAAGCTTTTACTTTTTTTAAATGTTATTTCTAAATGACGTAGCTAGCAATAGCCACGTCACTTAGAAAGAACATTTCATAAAATTTTAAAGATAATAAAGAAAAAGTGTAAACTGGTGTTTCTCGATCTCAAATAATAGGACGTTGATGATTATAAGATTTACTACATACACATTATATCTAATAAATTACACAAGAATGTTAAGTAGAATGGCAATAAACGAAAACACAGCAATTTTATCGTGTTGGAACTTCGACTTTCTGTGATTCTAGCAAATATCTTTTAAAATTACGTTGAAAGGCTACGACACTGCAACTGCTTTTCAAATGTACGTGCACAACTAATTATCATCGAACCATAACTTTTTTACCTATCTCAGGACATCCTTCTATTAGTAAACAAGATGAGTTATTTTATAATTAAAAACGCCTTATGATATTTGTTTCTTAGGTTTTCACGCACATGGCTCATTAAATAAAACTAGTTTTAACGGGTTAATGCACGAATTTTATTTATTTGTTGACGTTTCGCAGCCTTTTCCGGTCTGCATCGTCAGAATAAACGCCTTATGAATTATTTTCTACTAATAATGTAGAAAATATAACGCCTCAAAGGACCGGGTCCCCAGCTGAAAAGCGACCGCGAAATTTGGGTCCGGGTAGGCAAAGGTGCGAGTGATGTCTTTGCTATCGCAAGCATTTATAAGCTTCGTTGGCCGCCTACCATCAGGTGGGTCATACGATCATTTACCACAAACCAACACAAAAAAAAATCATAAAGAAAACTTATTTTTTTACTATATAGGATACTAGTTGACCCAGCGAACTTCGTACCACCATAAAAATAGGGGCAGGTGGTAGAAGAGAAATTTAGAGTTGTATGTATTTTTAACACCACATTAAAAAAAATGTCCAAAAAAAATTTTAGGGGTGTGTAACGTAGTGTTCTATAAATTTCCTGGGATAACATTCCTCCTAACTCATATGAGAACACTACGTTACAATACCCAATAGTTGGAATGTTGGCGCGAAGGCGCATTGTAGGTTTTAGAGCACTATGTTACAGGTGGACAACCATTATCACTTAAGAATGTGAAAAATAGATAGTAGCCGATTCTCAGACCCACGGAATATGCATATAAAATTTCATAAAAATCGGTCAGGCCGTTTCGGAGGAGTATGGTACTAACATTGTGACACGAGAATTTTATTTAAAAGATATATAGGAGTAATATTAATATGTTGAGTGTACTACCTGAATGGAGTTGCAAGGAGGTTGCAGCTAAAATAAGAATTGTCTGCAACATCCCTGAGATATAAGCTCTGTCTCCGCAAGAGACATGCAAACGCATTGTTCTTTTAAGCGGCCTTATGGTGCAAGTTAATGGCGAAAACTAAAAATAGGTAAGATGATAAAGAAAATTGTGCCCTCCCCCGCCCATTGTGCTATTCTCGACCCTGAATTAAGAATAGAAAAAGGTTAAAGTCTACAAACTCTGGCAGCGGATATCTCTCCATCTATTTATCTTCTTTGCCATTTATGTGAAAATACTAAGACCTTTGTTTCTCTTTCATTAGCATTCCGGCATGAGCTTTAGTTTTTTAGTTTGCTTATAGGCATAAATTTTTACTTCTATTTCATCCAATTAAATTTTTATTGTAGCAAAAATATAGGGTACGTTTTTTTTAAATTACCTTTTATTTATGAACCATAATATATCAAATGTGTCAATATTATTTTTAATAGATTCAGCAAAGAAATAGTTAAAGAAGTCATAGAGAGAAAGAAAGATGTTTAATATAGGTAAAATACCTAATAATATACACATGTAAAATAGTATGTAAGATAGGAGGAAAAAATGTAATTAGATTGATGTAATATAATATAAGAAAACATTGTAACAAGTATAAAAAAAGAAAAGACACAAGTGCAAAAGAACAAGAACGAAAATACATGCAAAAAAGCAAGCATGATATAAAAAATAATAAAAAAAAGAAACAAATAAAAGACAAGAGCTGAAAAAAGACCTGATACAAATTGGGGATAACCGTTATATAAAAAAAGTGTCATAAGACGGATATAACTTAGGCGTTAAAGTATAACATGTACAAAGAGCTACATCCGTTTTTATAATATCAATAAATAATATAATAGAATGCATAAAAATTTCACATTACTGGGTTCCGACCGGAAAAATAGCTTTGCTCCTTACTTAACAAAATTCTAGGCTACTGAACTTGTTTTTGTCTTTTCAGTTTTTTCAAGGTGGCGGGTTTTTTTTATTTAAGTACTATTTTCATTTCGACATTCTAGTTTAATAATATAGTTATTTTATATATTTTCTTGAATTTTATTTAAAAACTCTTTACTTTGATTGATTGATGAATTCTATGCATTTTTTTCGAGATATTTCATTTTAGCGCAAAATTTCGGCGATTTTGAATTTCTGAAATTTAATTATACCTAGTGACACC